CCCCTGAGCCAGCTGCACCCGCGCGGCCTGAGCAGCTGCGCCGTGGTCATGTCCGCGGGCGCCATCCTCAACTCCTCCCTGGGCGAGGAGATAGGTAGGTCTCCGCGCGGGGACGGGGCCCCGAGGGCTGGTCCCGGCGGTGCGCGCCTCTGGACCTCGCCGGCGTCGAGGCCCGGGTCCCCGGCCCGGGGTTCCAGGGTCCGTGGCAGAGTGGGCAGGTGACGCCCCGCCGCTGGGACAGAATGAGCCCCTGTCGAGACCCTGACAGAAGCAGTCTTTGGGGGGAGCTTAGAGCGGGAAGGGGGCTCCCTGGCGCCCCTTCTCACTGCTCCTGTCTCAGACTTCACCTCCAGCGGAGCCCCGGGTCTGCACCCGTCGGCCCCCAGCCTGGCCCTCGGAAGCCTGCCCACCCCATCACGGGGTGGCAGTAAGGTAGAGGAACAAGAGGAGGGGTTGGGAGAGCGGGAACACGCCCGGTCAGAGCTCGCCCCCAAGAGAAGCATCCGGGAGGGCGACGTTGGCCGCCCCCGTGCCTAAGCCGTCCTCCATGGACTCTGAGAAGGGCCCAGCTGCTGTCGAGACCGTCTTTCAGAAGATGAGTCCTGGCCTCCCGACCGTTGGCACGAAGCCAACCGGGGGGGCATGGCCAAGATGCCTGGTGGGGACTTCTCCCAGGTGGTCACTGCCATCTCTGCCAGGGGCTTCCGTCCTCCGCGCCAGGCTCATTCTTTAAACCCATGTCAAGAGCTCTGGAGCACGTCTGCCTCCGCCAGGGTTCTCCAGACAATCAGACCAGGAGTAGATACTGCAGAGACAGAAAGATTTAGGTCAAAGACTTGGCTCAGGTGATATCCGTAGGGCGGGCCAGCCGGCGAGACACTCGGGCGAGGTTTCTCCGGGGCAGCCACGAGGCAGAATTCCCTCTTCCTCAAGAAACTTCAGTCTTTGATTCTAAGGCCTTCACCTGGTGAGAAGAGGACCCCTACACTGTGCAGGGCCGTCTGCTTTACTCAAAGTCAGTTGATTTACATGTTAATCATGTCTTAAAAATGTCTTCACACCAACACCTAAACTGGTATTTGACCCAACATCTGGATACCGGAGTCTGGCTAAGTTGGTACATCACATGAACCACCAGCTTCTTCCCAGTTTTCAAGTAAAGTCTCAGTCCAAGGCTCGTTTGGTCGAAAGGGCAGGGTAAGGTTCAAGCACAGTGCCCTCTCCAAAGCGGAAGTCCTCCTTCCTCGCTGGACGGCAATTATCTCCCCACCTCCCCTAGCCTCTTGGCCCTCCTTGCCTGAGACGCCTCGTCTCCTGTGTTGACAGCTGCTCTCTCCCTCCGCAGGCGTGGGTCTCTGCTCCTGGGAATTTTCATGAGGCCCAGGCAAATTCCATGGCCGCAGGGAGCATGCAGCCTGGCCCCTTAGGCTCACCCAGTCACTGGGCAAATGCTTTTAGGCCCTACTGTGCGCACTGCTCTGCACGAGGAGCAGTTAAACAAATGTAACCAGTTGCAGCTTCAGCCTCAAGTCCAGGCGTGATGCAGCCACGTTTCAGACAGCCTCACGGTGACTGGTGTTTGGCTGTAACTCGTCTAGAAGTGAGATTTAGAGACCTCGCCTCCTGGTTGCAAAGGTGGAGTCCTGGCTTCTAGTCTTTGTTGTAAGCAGACTCACCTATTGTTCTGTCCTGGAAGAGTTCCCGACTTTCCAGAGCCCTCTTGGACTGAGGTGAAGGCACTGAAACCCAGACCTCAGCTCAGTTGTCCTCAGGAATGAGGCTGAATTCTTGAAAAGTAAAGAAAACAAGACAGTAAGTCTGGACTTGCGCTCGGGGGTCCCTGTGCTGACATTACAGCGGGCTCGTAATAACACAGTCCATGTGTCACATGAGCAAGTAGCCAAAGCCAGGGCAGAGCAGCTCGCAATTTATTAAAAGCAAGCAGGGGTTTACAGGTCCCCGGGGTGAAATAACACCAAGGCTCTTTTTCACTTCTGAGGACCTATATTAATAACGTAGAGAAGAGATGTAAGTTTTAGGCTTGCAGCAGGCAGTGGCTTGCTTCTGGCTTGGCTTGGTTGTGAACACCTCTGCATTAAAGCTGCATATCTGGGCTGCTCGTGCATGTCACAGAGAATTTCTGCGCTCTTCATCCCTGGGTGAATATCCCTGACCAGAGTCTCGTAAACGCTGCTTACACTGAGAATCCTTGTTTCTGGGGAGCATGAAATCCCAAAGTTGCATCTCTGTCCACTTAGAGTATCCAGGTTTAATGTACACTGTACACACTTCCATGAGGCTTCTTGAATGGAGCTGTAGAGTCACCACTGAAGAACGGGCTTGGGAAGGTTTTTGGGTTTGGGGTTTTTTCCTGTAATCTCAATGTTGTTTTGTCAACATTTCTTTGAATCAGAGTTTGTAGTAACCCATTAAGAACACATCACACGCCTCCGTTTGCAAAAACAAAAACGCTCACTTCTTTAAGTGGTCATCTGCTAACATTAGCACTATGTGTGGCGCTGGGCTCTGTGTCCTACTCACCTGGTTGTATACATGCAATTCCATGTAGTTATTAATGACTACATGAATAACTAAATTCATGTAGCATAAAGGTAAATTCATGTAGCAAGCCATCCTCTAGTGACTGCAAGCTCGCTCTCTTGCTGCTTCAATTCAACACAGGAGGCCGTGGGGGAGTGCCCAGGCAGGGCAGTGACCAAGTGCTGGCGACTGGCGGGCCTAGTAGCTCCTGGAAGGTTTTTAATTTTCCTTCTGGATGCACCTGTCTGGCTCATTTTCAAGATCAGTACGGCATGGCTCTGGCCTGGAAATGCCTTCTCCAGAATGAAGCTTGACTTTCTTCCCTTGTGCTTGCTGTCTTATCTACAATTTCTTTTCTAAACATGAATGGACAGCTTCTGTTTTTAAGGCACATCATCCAGGAAAGGTACACCAGATGTATGTACACAGCACAGCCTCCCTTTCCGACCCTGGCGCGGCTTACTCAGGGCTTTCACCGGGCTTAGCACATGTCCCGATGAGGGGGCCTCCCTGCTCCCCACGCAAGTGGCCTTTCAACTCTCCAGACCAATACCACTTCCCAAGGAGTTACGTGACATCACCTTCCTGTGCTCGTGACCTCCTTGGGAGGGTTAAAACCCAGCTCCCCGTACAGTGACAGGTATTCCAATGCTGGTACGTCTCCAAGGGGGATGCGATTTAACTGACGTTATGAGTCAGTTAAGAGAAGGGTACCCACTGCTCTGGCCCCTTGGCCTGCACACTCCACCTCTCAGCCTCACAGCCCAGGCTGTGTCTGAGGGACAGGAAGCAAGGTGTCAGAAGGGAACTGTGGCTGGGGAGTGCTGGCATCACCCTCCCTGGCTGCGGGGCGGACTCCCCCTGGAGCATCTGCATCCCCCTCACCTTCAGGAGTCTCCCCCGCATATTCGTGCTTGTCAGAGGCTTGCCTGAGATCAGTACTGCAGGACCGTTTCGGGTCCACAAGGCCGAATCTATTTGGGGGATGATAGAGGTATTTTCAGCTGTTGACATTTGCACGGACGATGCACAGGCAACGGTGGATAAAACCACAGGCTTCTTAGCACAAATCAGAGCAGCGGTGCCCAAAGCTCAAGCCTTGAGTACACATCTTTCAGATTTGGTGTGACAGATTGGGAAACAGGAGAAAAGCACACATGCATACGAGCACACAGCGGAAAAGCACTTGTGTGATTACATCGTGAGCTGACCTAACCACTTTTGTCATGAAATACAGTTTTACTGGGGGAAAAAATGACAGACAGATATACTCTAATTACTCAGATTTACTTGGCAGACATTTTCTCAAAGAATCAAGTGGGCCTGTCACTTTGAGGGGAATGATTAGCAGTATTAGTTGGCAATGATAAGATTCAAGGTTTTGGCTACAAGCTTGGAAGCTTCCCATACTTAAAAACTGATGAGATTCATGGCGCTAGTAACCAATGTGGTGTTTTGATACTCTATAATGAGATGCATCAATATTTGGAAGTAACTTACTGAGCTGATAGTTTTCAGATGATCATTGTACAATGTTACACAATTATGTAATGAGTAAGAGATCTATTTGAAGTGCAAAAAGAACGATAAATTTTAATGTAACAGTATAAAAAGCTCACTGATGCTTCAGATTCCACACTGCAACCAGTCCATAAGATACGAGTACGCACTGAGTTTTGATGAAGTATCAAAGAATATTCACAGTTCTCTGGAAGGATTCTTTTTTTTTTTTGAGATGGAGTCTCACTCTGTCACCCAGACTGGAGTGCAGTGGCTGCTCTCGGCCACCGCAGCCTCGTCCTGCTGGACTCCGGCGATCCTTCAGCCTTCCAAATAGCTGGAACTATAGGTGCATGCTACCACACTCAGCTAATTTTTGATTTATTGTGGAGATGAGGTCTCACCAAGTTGCCCAGGTGGGTCTCGAACCTGCAGGCTCAGGCAATCCA